CGCTCTTTGGGAAGTCCGGGCAATGGTTTGGGAATTGAAAAGGTTATCAACTAACGTCAAGTTGACGTTAGTTGACGTCGTCAACTAAGGTCCCTTTCATATTCGAATAATTCACGGGATCCATCCGTTAGGTAGAGCCCGAAGAAGTCGAGTTTTTTGAGAGCCGTTGCCAACAGCCAACGGCCCGTTGGCTAACACGGAACATGGAATGGGTAAGATAGACCTCAGCACGGCCAACTCGGACCTCGGTTAGACTCTGCTCTGGGATTTTGGCCAGCCGCAGAGAATTGCGGCACGTAGATGCTGAGCGCAAGCAAAATTATTCCCTTGGGGAGTATACGTTCTCCTTAGGGAGAAGGTTTTTACCTTTGCCCGCATTGTGCGATTAGTTGGCACGTGACAACAGCGAATGGAACGACGAGACTGATAGACAATTGACCAGTGTGGACGGAGTCACATACCAACGCAACCAGCCTCGACGATATGTGACACAATTACTCGACGACTCCTTTTCAACGATAACGAAATACTCCAATGAACGAAGGTAGATCGAAACTTTCGGGGTGAAACTATTTGAGGAGCCCAAGGGCAGTACTACATCGACTCGATGTACAGCCCAGAGGCTCGGACTAAGCCATGAATAGCTTAAAGATAGCGCCAGGCGCTAAGCGCCTACAATAACCAAAACTGTGATGACTGAGTCATGTGGCGTAATACTCAGTGGGAAATGGGATATTCGCGCTATGCAGTAGCCGTGGAATATATTTTTCACTATTGTATTTCGTATCATGAGTGAAACCCCACTGATGACATACCTCTGATCGGCATGGTGAGATCTACTCGAGGAAAGCTGAAATTTCTTTACTCATTCGCACACCCATCATTAGAAATTTAAGAAAATTTTTATCAAAGAACATTTTTTTCGAAAAAAAAGCCTATATAAGAACTCGGCCAAACATATACAGAGGTCGAAGATAATTTACAGAATTTTTCATTGTTGTCACCAACACGTAGTGGAAAATGTTGATATTTTCCAACACTGGTGTTGCATCTCGAAACGGACAATTCAGTGTACACATACTTTGTTTCGATGAGTCGATTCACGCTTATCATCTCGAAAACTCAACAGCTCATCGAAAAAAAATATAACTAGTCATAAAAAACACTAGTTCAAAACATACTTCACGATTACAGCATATCGCGAACATCGCGTTTTTCAACGAGTTTTACTCCACTTCATGCGGAACGGGTGAAACCCCAATAATCAAATCCCACAACGTAGCAGACTGTCAACAGAAATGAGCTGCACTGTGCATGGGAGGCAGTATTTCGGTGACACGTGGGCAGTGAAGTACTCGTGGACTTTCACCAGTGATATGGGAAACACTAGTGAAAAACACAGTTCACATTTCACTTCGCGAGTAAAAACGGGTGAAACTGCAATTACTCTCAAGCAGGCGGAAGGCCAAACTCGGACGCCGAAACACTACCACTTTCAGATCCGCTCGAGCAACCATCGCTAGAAAAGTATGAAGCCGATGACACACATACACGCATTGGAGTTTTACTCCTGATGTGAAAAACACATCGCGTGAAATACGTGATGTGTTTCACGTGAACTGGGCTGATTTGATTCACACATTGCTGATCCACACATTTCCCTCCAGCAGGCAGCTTCCCAGAACGGCCGTGTTGGGTACTCCTCAGGACTATATCCACTGGATATTGTCCAGATGAGGCTTCAAAGAGTGAGACCCTGCCTAATTGGCAGGGATCTCCCGAGAGAACCACTGGGAGGCCTCCAAACGGCATGTGGCTATAAGGCGCCCCTCGACGGATAATCTTGATGGTTTCCGATATAGCATTGAATACACTGGCGTGTACTGTTCCCACTTCATCCACGAAAATGACCGCTCCACCCTTCAGGCGCTGCCCTCCTTCACTACCCTTGATACCTCTCACCATCCTCCTCGTCAGTTCTGCTATCGAACGCATGCATGCATTATCGCCAACAACTCCAGTATCATCAAAAGCTAGTCGGAAGTAGGAGATGATTGTCAAACCACCGACTTGCTTCGCCGACATCCCACTCCAGGCTAATACTACCTGGTCGGCCGTACCGTTCCCCATCTCGCTGATTACCGACTTCAGGAGGAATGATTTCTCGCTTCCGGCATCGCCGGTGATGAAGAAGTAGCGCCCATCAGAGTTTCTCTTGTTGTCAAGCGTAGAATTGATACTTATTATGATCTTCTTGAATGCCTTGTGTTGATCTGGGCCCAAGCCGTTAATCTCGTCGACATGCCATCTGGCAGATTGACTGAGAGAGAAGGCTCACAACCCTGCATTGTTGTTGAGGTATCATCGTTCACAACTGCTGAATTGGAAGGTATAAGCTTGTTTCGGCAAGGGTGGTGAGAAATCAGGAAGTTCAACCCTCACACATATTGTCGGATTTCGGTTAAAATGTTCTCTTGGATGGTATGTCTTACTGACTATCGGAAGGTCGCAGGATAGATTCCTGGTTGCCGATATATTCGGTTTTGTAAGCCAGGGTTAGGTTGAGCCGGACCAACTTTACGCTCCTTAGGCGATCTCCTTAAGGACCTTAAGGAGCGACTCCTAAGTGTTTTAAGGTGCAGGCTGCACCGTGCAGCTCCTTAGCCTCGTTCCTTAAGGATCTTACGTAAGGTCCTTAGCCTCCTAATTTTGAGGAATCCTTACGCTCCTTAGCCTCCTAAGTTATAGGGAGGCGCTCCTTCCTTAAGGATCTTACGCTCCTTTCTTGAGGAAGGTCTCCTAAGTTGCAGGCCCAGTACACTCTTGACCCTGCCATCGCCTGCACATCTCGTTATCACTCGCTTATGATCACTATGCTACTATATTGGAGAAAAGATAGGGTATAATAGTAGAGCAGATTTCTGGTGTTCTTCATATCACAACCCGAACTCCGGTGCGTGTTAATTTGATATGCAAATGTGTGCTATATCCCAAAATCTTATATCGCAATATAAACATTGCTATGAAAATGTGATGTGATAATAGTAACCTTTCGAGACTATGATGGGCTATCATTGATAGCGAAAAGTTGTTCACTATCATTAATCCCGGAACAGAAAATGCGTCTTAGTTTGGCTCTCCGCCCCCTTGAGAGTAATTGCAGTTTCACCCGTTTTTGCACGCGAAGTGAAATGTGAACTGTGTTTTTCACTAGTGTTTTCCATATCACGGGTGAAACTCGGCGAGTATTGCACCGCCCACGTGTCATCGAAGTACTGTCTCTCATGCATAATGCAGCTCATTTCTGTTGACAGTATGCTACATTTCCGTGATCTCAATACGCTGAGGTATGCCGTCTGTACTATACGTTAATTCTGATTCACGACTGAAGCGAGCTTCTAATGCAATGGAACGAATACACTGAATACATTGAAAACAACTTGAAAGACCATTTCTGAAAAAAATGGTTTTTGAAAAAAATTTCCTGAAATTTCTAATGAGGGGTTTGCGAATGAGTAAAGAAATTTCAGCTTTCCTCGAGTAGATTTCACCATGCCGATCAGAGGTATGTCATCAGTGGAGTTTCACCCGTGAATCACGGGCCGTGATACGAAATACAATAGTGAAAAGTATATTCCACGGCTACTGCATAGCGCGAATATCGCGTTTCCCACTGAGCATTACGCCACATGACTCAGTCATCACAGTACTGGTTATTGTAGGCGCTATCTTTAAGCTTTTCATGGCTTAGTCCGAGCCTTTGGGCTGCAAATCAAGTCGATGTAGTATTTCTCTTGGGCTCTTCAAATAATGTCACCCCAAAAGTTTCGATCTACCTTCGTTCATTCGAGTATTTTGTTGGAATAATTGTGTCACATATCGTCGAGGCTGGTTGCATTGGTATGTGACTCCGTCCACACTGGTCAATTGTCTATCAGTCTCGTCGTTCCACTCGCCGTTGTCACGTGCAAATTAGTTGCACAATGCGGGCAAAGGTAAAAACCTTCTTCCTAAGGAGAACGTATACTCCCCAAAGAAATAATTTTGCTTGCCCTCAGCATCTACGTGCCGCAATTCTCTGCGGCTGGCCAAAATCCCAGAGCAGAGTCTAACCGAGGTCCGAGTTGGCCGTGCTGAGGTCTATCTTACCCATTCCATGTTCCGTGTTAGCCAACGGGCCGTTGGCTGTTGGCAACGGCCCTCAAAAAACTCGACTTCTTCGGGCTCTCCCTAACGGATGGATCCCGTGAATTATTCGAATATGAAAGGGACCTTAGTTGACGTTAGTTGATACCCTTTTCAATTCTCAAGCCATTGCCCGGACATCCCAAACAGCGAAAGCCACGGACATGATGAAACAATCAGTCAGCGCTCATATTCGAAATAGGATATTCCTTTCTGTATTTATCGAAGTTGTCTCAGTAGATGTGGCGAGCTTGGGGCCCGATTCCATCTCCAGGATGAGTGAAATTCCAATAGTTGTCCTCTAACTGGTGTAACACAAGGCGATCCCAAAGGTCAAGGAGGTAAAGTCCACAAACAACGGTACCGTATGCAAGGGTTGTCTCTTGTACTCACGATGAGAAGCGTTGACCACTCAGCTGATGTCCTCCTGTTGATGGAATCGAAACAAGAGTATATGAAAGATCCGCTTATAACCACGCAGACATACAGGGAATAAGGTAAAGCGTGGAGAAGATTATTGATCCGCTCGTAAGTAGGCATTACCTACTCCGAAAGCAACGACGGGAGAGAAATGTTACAGATGGATGAGCCGCGAAGCGTCATCAATACTTAGTGAAATAACTACGATCACTATGACACTCGGAGAGTCGACGTCACGGTATTGTATGAAATAGCTCCTAGAATGTGAGACGGCTCATTCACAAATATTCAACGTACTCGCATAAAAAAACAAATTGGACGACCAACCAAGGTCTGAATAATGGTAAACCAAAGCGGTTGGTACGCTGAGGATTCTACTGTCGAAACAATATCAACTAATGGGAAGGAGGCTCTCGGTGTGCCAGCTCCAACCATTGTCCCTTGAGGTGAATAGACGGGTGGTCGAACTTAGTATCGTACTTTATTTCAGACAAGTCTCCTTCTTCCAAAGGTAAGTAATCCGGGCATGTCTTCTCAAAGCTGTCAATGAACTGGAGCCAGTGCAAATTTTGGTTCAGTGATATGAGGTAGAACACATCGGACTTCTTAGTGACAGCAAAGGTCGCCTTAGTTGGTCTGGGACCCACCCCACAGTTGAAAAGAATCTCCACTTTTGTAGCATCGTCTGAGAATGTATACACCAAAGCCAAATAAGGTTTAGACTTGTTCACGAAATATGAACCATTGGGCTCGCGGGATAGGGCAACACCGACGAGTATGAGATGGAGAAGACGGTTGGGCATGGATTCGATCAAGAAACCTACAGCAAATAGTCCTATAATATTATTCTATACAAGGGATACTACTTACAATTCTGGCCCGTTCTACGCAACACCACAATCCATAGAAGATGCCCACACAAGTTGGAACTTCCAACTTGCGTGTGGAATTCCGCTCGGCATCTTGTGCGGGTTCTTCTACCCAAAAAGAGAAAACTGACTTTTGGCAGCGGAACTACAAAGCCACTAAGATATTATCCAATCGAGACGGAGTCGTCGGAGTTGTCAGTCTCAGTTCGTTTGACGAACCGAGACTGACAGCTTCGGTGAACAACCTGCACGCATGTGCATATTCCTAAACGGAAAAGGGAGCAGAACAACACGCCCGCACAAACGGGACTAACCCGGGGATCAGAGGTGTACAATCACCAATGATGGAGAACTTGTCCCTAACACAGGCAGTGTAAGGTGCTTCATAATGCGCTATGAATAGGCCATAAACTATTCTTCTCGCAGAAGAATTCTGTAGCAGGTACACATTCTCTGAGGGAACAGTACTGATCTGCGACCCTGAGTGTTCGGGCCTCAGATTTCCCATTTTGCTAGCGTCGCTGCTTTGTGTCACGAGTACCGTGTACATTGCTGTCTCGGAGACAATGTCTCTTCATGCTCTCTATGCGTGTCTTTTTACATTCATAGATGGCATGGTTACCTCAAGTGGAGAGTAGTGGAGACATGATGACACACTTTGCCATTGTGCCACTAGCTCGTTTATGCCAGAACACATAATAGGTTGCCAATAGGTTCGAGACCGGTATCCAGAGCCGGTCCCGGCAGTGATTGGGACAGTCGTTCCGTGGCGTTGAGCGAAATAGTTTTCCTTTGTGTTGCACGCATACACAAAGAATTTTGTCCCCTAGCGTTTCGCTAGGAACATTGCCATCATTATTCACTAACAATATATACAACTTGTATCTCCTTAAGTTTCTCTCAGTTTATGTCCTCCAGTAATGTTCAGTCTGTGTTGCTTTCAACTGGTGCCCAGACTCCAGTCGATCGTCTGAACATGACTCTTTCCGATATCATCCGTATGGATGGTATTCAGGAACCCTCGGACGTGTCTGAGGAGATTCGTCCTGATGGAGAGTTGGAAAACGTTGATCCAACTCCCAGGACAGATGAAGAAGCTCCCGGGGTAGACCAGGGGCAGGAAAAGCCCACTCAAGAAAGCAATTTTGGTGTGAATCTTGATAGAGGAAATCGAGACTTAAACTCGTTCTCCAAGATACCACAAACGTTTGATGACCAGCCAAAATCAACCCTTAGGAGTGATCGGCGGCAAGGCCAACGGATGTCTGAACTCCGTAAGAATGCAGTTAAATTCTCTGGTACTCCAAAAGAAGATGTTTAAGAGTGGCTTGATAAGCTTGACATGATTGCAGGGCCAGACGGGTTTAATCTCAACTATCATGATCAAGCTTTGCTTTTGCGCCTATCCGTTTCGGGTGACGCATACCAAGCTGTTCTTATGGTCCGGCCTGGTGATCCTAAGACAGATCCACAACAGAAAGGTTATTTGGCCCGTGTTCGCTCCGAACTACGGAAAAGGTTTGGCAAAAGTCCTGATCGAGCGATCAACAACTTGTGTGATATCAGCTTCACCAACTATGACACTGTTGACGAGTATGCTACTGCTATTAATCGACTGGTGAGGCAAACATGTCCCAATACTCATCGGGAATGTCAGGGCGAATGGGAGAAGATATTCTTCTATCGCGGATTGCCTCATAACTTCCCAGCAAGTGCTTCGATCAAACCGTTCTGCCTTGACCCGACTTTAACATTCGAGCAGGTTCTGGAAAAGGCCAGACTGTATTTTGACAGCAACGCGGAAGCACGTGTTGCTGCTCCGGGTGTTCGTCGGAGTATTGGCAAGGGCGGTAAAGGACGAGGCAAAGGAAAAGGGAGAAGAAGCAACCACTTTTTCAAGCAAGCTGACTTGAATAAAGACAAGGTTCATTGTGACTTTTGTCACCGACATAATCATACGATTGAAACATGCAGGGACCTGGCAAGAGCAAGAATGCTATTAAGGTTAAGTAACCTCGGAGAGAGATTTCACCCTATCAGCTCGTCGGTTCCCCTATTGATTGAGCATGAATATGGTTTGACATGTCTTGTCGATTCAGGGTCAAGCGACACAATCATCGCCCAAACAGCCCTAGAGAAGATCTATGGTGATGGAATTCCAGTGGTGCGACAGTCAGTCGCCATATCAACAATCGAAGGCCCACAATACTGTGATGTTCATAACATCCCTTCCTATGTGTTGAGTTGTGATCATCCGATGTGAAGCACATGGAAGTGTTGGTAGCAAAGACCGATCACCTAATCAAGGTTGGGAATTACAGTGTTGATGTGATACTGGGCTGTGATTGGATACGGAAGCATGCACCGGTCGTAATCACGAAGTCCAATACTAATGAAGTGACCATAGAACAAGGTCTAAAACAATCAAGCATAGCAGCGGCGGTTGCTGTAAATAGCCAAGACGTTCTATCAAATGATGGCTTCAAACAAACAGCGGTCATAGAAGATACTGATTTCAGGGCAGTACGTCTAACGGGATCAGATGGAAACTCGAGGTGGAGAGTACAATGAAAATGGACAACTAAAACACCTCCACCACGAGTTTTCCGGCCTGCTACGTACCACAAACAGATGCAAACTCTGACTGATTCACAGCTAGACCTCTGGCGAAAAGAGCTAGAGAATTGGGAAAAACAAGGCTTCATTGAAGAAGTTCTACGATGTGAACTGAATGGAACATTGACACTTATGGCAGCAGTTCAAGAACATAAGGTGTCTACGCCATGTAGACCAGTCATAGATTATAAGCCCTTGAATAACCAGATAATTTCATTGCCAAATTCTGATGATCACGTCACTTGTCAAGACACAATAAGGCGTTGGAGAGCTGGTCAAGCCAAAGATGGGCATAGTGTTGGAAAATGGGTATTGATTGATATTCGAAAGGCATACTTGTGTATAGAAATGCAGCGTGACTGTGCCAATTACCAAGGCCTTATCATTGAAGGCCCAAATGGCGAAACCCGGTATGTGCGCCTCAATAGATTAGGTTTCGGCGTAAACATAGCCCCTAAGGTCCTAAGACGGATTATAATGTATATCTTGCAGGAAGCTGGACTCGAAAATTCAATAGAGATACTTGTTGATGATATTCGAGTTCCAGTTGACTATGTTGAAAAAGTTGTGGCCGTGTTAAATCGGAATGGTTTTCCTACAAAGGATCCAGAGGATAGCGAGTCTGCCCGAATTTTAGACTTACAGCGGGATGGAACCAACATGTGGAAGCGACGTGCGGTGATTAAACCAATGAAAGGAACAACCTATAAGAATTTGAGATCATGGGTTGCTACTATCGCATCATCGCATCTTCCTATTCTAGGTTGGTTATCACCAGCAGCCAGGGCATTAGAAAGGCTCGGTGTTCTGAGCGATCCTGCCGCAAAGTCAACGGATTTACTCGACTGATTACCAAAGCTCAAAAACTTTACAACGATATTCAAGCTACAGGCGATCCAGCTACAGGAGTTTTCACCGTTGATCCTGACGCCCCTTGGAAACTGTACACGGATGCATCAGCCGATATCATTGGAGCTTGCCTCTATTTTGGGAATGACCTAGTAGAAGACAAGTCATGGCTCAGAGACGTACGAGATATCCGACCAATTGATACAGTAGAGCTGGAAGCCGCACTTAGAGGCTTGAATAATGTGGTAGTCCCTTGGCTCCGAGCATTAGGTATTACACATGGAAAGACGATAACCATGTATGTTGATAACAAGCCAGTACTAGGTCAACTATCCAGGAAGCAAGCGAAGCACTGGGTGGCTTCAAAAGGCTTGGCATCCGGAGCCGCCGAAGTAAGACTACAAATGATCGACGATTTATTAACCTTGTATAAGATTGATGTTATATATCAATATATCCAAAGTGAGCAGAATCCTGCTGATAAACTCTCTCACATCCCAAGTTATCTCAAATGGGCAAGACCATCTAGGAGATCGCCGAAAGTTTCGACAGCGGGAGCGAAGCAAGAGACCTGGCAAGACGTAAGTACTTGTAAAGATGGTGCTATATGGATTCCATCGTCTCAACTCCGTAACTTCGTGATGGATAATCATGATCATGAGGGAACCGAAGCGTTATACCAAAGACTCCATGAATGGGTTCGTGCGGAAGGACTCCGAAAAGTCTGCAAAGAAATTGTTGATCAGTGTGACGTGTGCAAGCGTGGAAAGGCACACGCGAATCAAAACGCTGACGGCATAGACCAGACTACTGGAAAGAAGCGGAAACGTGACCCTGATGAGGTGCGTGCAGTAAGAAAGTCCGCAATACCATTCAATAAAGTCCACATCGATGTGGTTGGTAATCACCGAACAGTATCTGGTCGCAAAGCTTTTTTTGCAGTGACCCTTGTGGACAGTGCAACTGGATATGCACTGGCAAAAGCTACCAAAGGAACTCCAGTCAGTGAAGATGTGGAAGCACTTTTTGCTCACATGTTCGAAATGAATCACACAACACCTCTTGTTGTATGGTCAGATTCTGGAAGGAATTTGGTATCCAAACGAGTCGAAGCACTTTTGTTGAAGCATGACGTGCTTCATTTAACCACAGCTAAGAATCCGTCGCTCACGAATGGAAAAGTGGAAAGATTCCATCGCACACTCAATGAGTACTTACGAACACACGCCTCTCACGATGAAATCGGATGGCCAGAATTTCTGCGCCTAATCCGTGAAGGCGTTGCCAAATATAATACAACACCATTTCGTGGTATATCCGCTCATGACAAGGTCTTCAGGTTTCCACCACAATGTGAACCTTATCGACCCGTCTAGGCGAGAGATGAATGGGATGTTTTATGCACGCCAACTTCCTCGGAATGGGAAAAAGGTCTAGAGCCAGGAACAAGTGTATTTTATCGGAATCCA